AACCTGAAGGTCCCCAGCTGAAACTTTGTCTCGGACAAAGTGATAGTCGACCTCAACATGTTTGGTGCGCGCATGGAACACTGGATTTGCACAAAGATATGTCGCACCTAGATTGTCACACCATAGCGTGGGCGTGGAGACAAGCCCTAATCCGAGATCCCGCAGCAAGGACACAACCCAGGTAACCTCAGTACAGACATCCGCAAGCCCTTTATACTCTGCCTCAGTCGACGAGCGTGCGACGGTGCGCTGTTTCCGAGAGACCTAGGAGATAAGATTTGCGCCGTAGAAGACTGCATACCCACTTGTGGACTTACGATCAACAGGACAGCCGGCCCAATCCGAGTCGGAGTAGGCATGAATATCCGAGACCCCTGAAGCAGTGATGCGTAGACCGTATTCCAGAGTTCCTTTTATATAACGAAGAACTCGCTTCAGTAGACCCCAGTGCTCGTCAGTCGGTGAATGCATGAACTGACATAGCCGGTTGACCGAATAAGACAGATCCGGGCGAGTGATGGTGAGATACTGAAGAGCTCCAGCGAGTCGGCGATATTGTGTTGGGTTGTCGAAGGAGTCAGTGGACTGACATACGGGCTGAGTCACAGAAGCCGGAGTGGCTAACGCCTTTCAATCAGACATGCCGGCTCGCTGTAGAATATCCCGCATATAACGGCCCTGTGAAAGCATCATACCACCGGAAATAGAAATGGTTTCTATGCCGAGAAAGAACGTCGGTTGCCCTAGATCCCGAATTTTGAAGGCCGTCGCCAGTTGCCTTAGTATATAATCAACTAAGGCTGTGTCACTTCCAAGCATGATGATGTCGTCCACGTAAACAAGTAAGAATACTCGAGCATCAGCAGCGGAGTAGTGAAACAGAGACACATCTGTTTTGGAAGCAACAAACCCTGTGAGAATAAGAAAATCATGTAAGCGTTTGAACCAGGCGCGGGGTGCCTGTTTCAACCCATACAGGGAACACTGTAAGTGACAGACGTGATCAGGATGATCAGGATCTTCGTAGCCTGGTGGCTGCCGCATAAAGACCGTCTCAGCCAGATGCCCATTCAGGAAGGCGTTCTGAACATCTAGCTGCCGTAGTGTCCACCCACGGGAAATGGCCAAAGAAAGTAATAGCCGAACCGTGGTTGGTTTAACAACCGGACTGAATGTCTCAAAAAAGTCCTCACCGGCTACTTGATTGTAGCCTTTGGCAACCAGCCGAGCCTTATAACGTTCCACCGTGCCGTCGGCTTTCCGCTTAGTGCGAAAAACCCATTTGCACCCTATTATGTTCATGGCCGGAGTAGCTGGAATAAGAGTCCACGTGTTGTTATGCAGTAACGCGTTGAACTCTTGGTCCATTACGTCTCGCCATTGTGGATGGCCCACTGCTTGGGAGTAGCAAGTCGGGTCATCCGTGGATGCTGTTAACACATGAAACTGTTCCCCAGTCCCTTGTGTCATGCGCCTGAGCCGCATAACATGGGCCCGCTCCTGAGGTTGAGCTCGACGTCCTCGTCTTTTGACCACAGGAGGCCGTGCTGGAGCCGGTTCTATAACCGGACACGGTGTGGTGGTAGCAGCTTCAACAGTCGTGTTTTGGTGCAAGACGGGACTAGACCCCCAAGGTAGACTGGGCACGACTTCACGGGCTCCAGACTGTACCGGGTCCTTGTTAGCAAAAGGGAAGTGACTTTCATCGAAGCGGACATGGCGACAGATGTAAGTTTTCCCGGTGTTTAGGTCCATGCAGCGGTAACCCCTAAAGGACGGTGGGTAACCTAAGAAGACACACGGACTTGACCGATACTCAATTTTATGACGGTTGTATGGACGAAGGTATGGGAAACAACGACACCCGAATACACGCAAATATGTGTAAGTGGGTGGAGACTGATATAACCGGTAGTAAGGTGTATCAAACTGGAGTGAAGATGACGGCAACCGATTTATTAAGTATGTTGCTGTTTCAAAGGCATGATGCCAATACCTTTGTGGGACAGAGGCTTGGGCCATCATGGCAAGACCGGTCTCGACAATATGCCGGTGCCTGCGTTCCACGCGCCCGTTTTGCTCATGCGTATAGGCGCACGATTGCCTATGCACAATTCCTAAGGAGGTAAACACTTTGTGTAACTTTTGATATTCCCCCCCCCCCCCAAATCAGACTGAATGGACTTGATAGAACGTGAAAATGTACGTTCTACCGTCGCCCGAAAAACCTCAAAAATTTTGTATATATCGGTTTTGAGTCGTAGCGAATAATACCAACAATAGCGGGTATTATCATCTACGAAGAGTACAAAGTAACGTGAGCCATCCGCAGAAATAACAGGTGCGAGACCCCAAATGTCAGTATAGATAAGGTTTAAAATATTATTGCTAGATTTAGCTACCCTATCTAACGGGAATCGAGAGGATTTCCCGAGTTGACAAGATGAACATAAACTACGAGTTACATTTTTATTTGATTCAACCGGACATTTTTGTAAAACTCGTTTTAGGGCTTGTTCGTGGGGATGACCGAGACGCTGATGCCAGATTGTGGAAGAGGCACGAGCAGAAACAAACGCATGGTGCGGACTTGGAACTGACAACGTGTATAGTCCCCCCGAGCTCGGACCTTTAAGCAGAACTGCCTGTGTGATGGAATCCGTCACAACAAAGAAATCAGGGTGAAATTCGAAGTAACAATTATTATCTTTTGTAAAACGATTTACAGATAATAATGAGACCGACAACTCAGGAACATGTAAGACACGAGACAATTTTAATGGTTTAATGACCGTAGGAATTACTGCACGACCCACACTCGAGATTGTCAAACCTGTGCCATTACCCACTCTCAGAACGTCATCACCGTGATATTCTTCGGCCTGCGATATGACTCCGGGATCCGGCGACGCATGAGTGGATGCGCCCGTATCCGGCAGCCAGGAGGTGACTGCCGACGTCGCGCCTGCACTGCCTCCGTCTCCAGCGACCGCAACATGCGCCGAAGGTGGTGGCTCCGAATAGCGCTTGTAGCAGAAGGCCGCCGAGTGCCCTTGGACTCTGCAAATCTGGCACCGCAAGCCACCATTCCGGCCACGTCCTCCGCGGCCTCCACCTCCGCGATTGCCTCCGCGGTTGCCGCCGCCGCGAGACTGGCCACCACGGCCTCCACTGTTTTGGTGCCGTCCACCGCGACCGGCATAGTACGCCGAGGGAGCTCCATTCGGCGTTGCAGGTTGATAGGCCGGGAAGTCATCCGCATGGATGAACTGCTGCGCCTGCAAGTAATCCGCCAATTGCGGGATCGTCACCGGCGTTCCGGTGACCGCCAGGGAGGCCGCCATAGACCGGAACTCCGGTCGCAGCCCCTGGAAGACATACAAGTTCTGCTCCGTCAACGTTAGCGGTCGCCCGGCAAGTGCGAGATCCTCCACTAAATGCTGAGCACGGCCGAGGTACTCTGGTGTGGAGCTATCTCCCTGCCGGAGTGCTTGAAACTGCCCCATGAGATTGAGACAGCAGACTTGGGAGGAGGAGCCGAGCGCCGTTTCCGCCGCAAGCCACACCGCACGAGATGTTGTCTGGCCGAGAGTGAGGAACATAACCTCTTCAGAAATTGAGGATATGAGCAACGACAAAATAGAGGCGTCCTGCTCAATCCAAGCTTCATGCTCCGGATTCGCGACGACTGACGCCGCATCTGCCGGGCTACCGGCCGGCAGTTCAACGACCGGAGAGGGGCACGGCCGTGTGCCATCAATGAAGCCGAGGAGTCGTTGTCCTCGTAAGAATGGAATTATTTGGGTTCTCCAATACAGGTAGTTCCGATGAGTTAATTTAAGCGACACAAAATGGTGCGCACTAGGGAGGGAGTTTGGGTGGGTGTTTGGGGAGGAGATGGTGGCGGTTGTGAGTGTGCGCTCGGAACTGGACGACATTGTCGATCGGAGAAGAAGAGAGAGAAAAAAAGAGAGATCCCTACTGGCTAACTGATACCGGATGAATTTGGGAAAAGATTATCGATTGAATAACAGAATCATAGTTACATTAATACTCTCACAGAGAGAGAACTATCTTCTAGGCTAGAGACTAGATCATTAACAGATTATTACATAACTAATTATATATATTAAAACATAGTATATAATAATAACACAGTCTAACAATATGTACCCACCCAAATGTACAGAACACTCTTGTTCAACATTCCCAACCAACTAACAGTGTCTACAGTAGGCTTCCATGGAGCAACACGAATGGATGTATTCAAATAAATCCAAATTGGACATACGCCCAGGTATATAAGGAAAATTTTTAATGTTGCCTGGGTTTTCGCCGCTTGCCATCGTTCTGTAGCAGCCACCGATGAACGGTGGCATGCGTTTCTCTCCGAGGTCGTACGGACGCCGAAAGTATGTGCTTCTTCCCCTGTCGTAAACAAATGGAATGCAGATCCAACCATGAGTCCTTCCTTATCTTGTCATCCTAAAATCAAGGAAATAATCCAAATATAATATTTGATTTTAATTGGTAGTTGAATTAAATTACACTAATATCCTTTTTATTTAATTATGTGTAAGAAGTAAATAAAATTGTTAAATTATCTAGACCATTGATTAAGCAAATTTATATGGCTAGGATTAGTTCCTAGGTTCCTATCTAACAAAGGTTCCTACTTGAAGCTTCCCCTATATATATATATATATATATATATATATATATATATATATATATATATATAACTCTTAACCAAATAAGGTAATATTATATTACACAATTCAAATCAAATATATAAGATAATCTTACTTTATTAAAATCTCACATTAACTTCCTGAATGTAATTATTAATTGGATTAATCTAAAATTCTGTGAACGAAACGTCCCTAAATAGTTATATTAGCAGTTAACTCCACTATTGACTTCTAAATGGCACCATTTTCAAATGATTATAAATTCTCCATAATTTTCAAAGATATTTTGGCAGAAATTAAATGCAGTTTCCAGAACAAGAATCCATCAGTACAAGTGTTCACTTAAGCCCAATTATTTAACTTCTTTCATTTCCCCACTCAAACGCGGCTTCCCCTGTCTCTTTCGCCTTTTTCCCCCCTTTTAAGACTGCTCTCTCCCGTCCCCACTCTCCGGCGATTTTCTGTTCAATTCCTGGTGATTTTCTTTCTGCTACTACTCTTCGTTAGTTAATATCGTGTTTGGAACTTGATTATGTATCCTATTGTCTTCGATTTCGTGTGAATTGTATTTTTGCATTTTGCAGAAACTAGGAACAAAGAGAAACGGTTGAAATCGAAACGAACCTTCAATCGGCAATGATGATGACTCGGACGATCTCTGTTGTTCTTTTCTTCGCAATGCTGGCGCTACATCGGTCCCTGGCCGAAGATTCTCCGACGGCTTCACCAGCGCCGGCACCGGTAACCGGAACCGACGATTTCTCCCCGCCGGCTCCTGCGCCTACTCCAGATAGTCCCTCTAGGGCTCCTCCACAGGATGCTAGTTCTCCTCCGCCCTTAGATCTCGGCTCACCATCGCCGTCACCGGCGGATGCAAAGGCATACTCTCCGGCTTCGGATTCTCAAGTTGCGAAAGATGTGAGGCAGGTCAGTACGAGCGAGGAGAAGTCATCAGGCAGGGGAAAGAAGGTGGGAATAGCTGTCGGAGTCGTGGCCGGCGCGTGCGTCGCTGGACTGGGAGCGCTGGTTTACAAGAAGCGTCGGGATAATATCCGGCGATCTCAGTACGGACAAGACGCCCGCGGTTCATTGCTCTAAAATGCGTGCAGCTTTTGATCGTGTAGCCGTTCTGTAAGTCATCTATACACAAATCCTTTGCATTGATAGTTTGGTAGATTTGCCATTTCTATAGATATATGGTTGTGTGATTGTTCAGCGGGAGGAGGTAAAGATTGGTTCGATTCTTATCACTGTTAATTCTTGTTACCATAGTAATAATGTTGCCACGTAGAGGCCTCATGATTTTTCTTTTTTAAATATACATAGTATTTTTTTTCAAAGTTATCGAATTTATACAAGGAACTCTCTCAACAGTTATTAATTCAGTAGCACAATGCACATTTGATTGTGAATGTGAACTCTTTCATAAATGGCCAGATAGTGAATGTAGACTTTCTCATGAATAGCTATTAGTTTGAACTAAGTCATTCATTGTAAAAAAAAATCAAATTTTTTGTCTTTGCTTTTACTTTTCAGCTTAGATTGGCAGGCAAACTAAACAATGAATTAAATGTGATAAAAATTGAATAGTCATGCACTAAAATTAAAAATCTTGATAGTTAATGACCTAATTTGGGAGGGGTATTATAGTCTAGGAACAAGTGGAGAAAACTTTTTTATTTTTTAGAAGAAAAAAAAAAGTATCAAATTAGTCTACCTTTAGATCTCCTAATTGAAAATAACTTTACCTATCCAACATGTCATTGCTGATGAGACGTTGAGTATGTTAAGAGCAACTCTAATTGTGTTTTTTTGGAGGGCTTTTATGGTTTGTTAGAGGAGAGAGAATGCGAGTTGGAGAGGGATAGAATGGAGGAAAGAGAAATTTTTAGTTTTGTCGTATTTAAAAGTTTTTGAAGGATCTATGTGAAGAAAAAGAAAAACACAATAAAAAAAAACGGAGTCATTACCTCGAGGGTGAAGGAAATTCATATTGGATTCCAATTAGAAACAGATTTTGAATTGAGGCAAAAAAAGAAATAACTCCTTTCAGTTTGCCTTGTTATCTAAAAGCATAAAACTACTTTTTGTTTGCCTTGTTATTGTTTACAAAAAGTCAAACTCAGCTTTGCGTGTTGATATTTGTGTTGTGATTAATAATGATTTTGTGTTGATTTACAAATGATTAATGAATAATGTAAAAAAGATTACTAATTATTGGTTCATGAAAAATTACAGCTGAAGAATTTTTTTTTATTCATTATTCATACATCGAAATTATCTCATTAACTAAGTTAAGCGGTGGATTTCGCCGTACTCATTGTCAAAAATACGATATGTAAATGACCACTGATAAATCTTCTCAACGTTACACAATATAGCAATAGGTAGGATGAGTATGACGTTTTGCTCGACATTGAAGCATACAACACGGTCACATCCTTGTAAATGAAAATGAGCATATATTTGCTCCCACTGTTCGTCGTAGGATATTAATGTGTAGTCGAAGTAGAGTTCTAGGTACTTATCTCCAACTATGAATTTCAGTGGCCCATCCACTTTGACGGAGTCGCGGAGGAATTCACTCAATCGTTCACACTAGAATTCAGTAAGAGGATGTTAGCAAGTAATGGCATTGATTGAAAGATGCATTGATGTATATTCTTTTCTTACTGCAAAAAATGTACCGAAATGTTGGTCGTACTGCAGATCGGGCGTTGACATTGATAAACACTAATATATAAACCAATTAGTATTACTGTACGTAGAAAGAAAAATATAATATATAATTTATGCAGTATAAGTGTATTGTTACCTTGATCAAAACAAAGAGTATTTCTCCCCATGCCATATTGATTAAATTCCCTCTTCGGAGTGTAAGAGTCATAGGTATAGAAGTAAGTTTCGAAAATGAAGAAACTTGTATGTCGAAATAACATAATGTCTTCAGGAAATAAATTATTTTCCACGATGAAATTAGTAATTCTCGTGGTAAAGTGCATATCTTCGACGTAAACTTCTATCAATTTGCTATAATGCATGCCACAGAATTGCTTTTTTCATCAAATGTTGCATTAGATGGCGATGCATACAATTGGGAATTCTCTATTAACAAAAATATAGTAAATGTAAGAATGGTGAATGTATTATAACATTTAAATATATAAGATAAAAAAAAATAAATTACCATATGTAGATCAGATGTAACTTGAATAGTGAACCACGTAATAGCGCATGTGAACAAAGAAAATTGAATAAAATATATTGAATTTAAAATTCCGGTTACATATCAAGTATCAATGCGGTGTGGGTACAAGATCTCTGGATGGTCCTCTGATTCTTCAAATGATGCCTTAAACACTCCACCATTGAAGGGTCTCCGGGTTTCAAGTGGCTTGATCTCCAAAGAAGAACTTATATATTTGTTCTTCGTTGAAGGGCCTCCGGGTTCAAATGACTTGATCTTCAATGGAGGTTTAGATCAACAAGCATGATTGGATTGGAGGAGGGGCTTTTACTTTCAGAATCACATTTTTTTTATTGTGATCCCTGAATAAGCTTCAAAGCTTAAGATGTTTTTATTAATTTTTCCTAGGATGTGTGATTACATAGAAATGATAGCTCCTATTTATAGCTGTAGGATAGAAGAGTTTTGATAAGCTCAAACTCTTTTGATATTATCTAATTAAACAAATTAGATAATATTAATATTATCCAAATATATTCAAATAACTAGTATTAAAAATAATCAATATTTATGAAACTTTCAGTGTCAACAAATTCCCCCTCGAGACTTGCTTGTACACCACTTGAGAGCATATATCACTCGAAAGTATGTAGTGCAAGAAAGTCTCGACACTACAGTTAAAGATATAAGGTCGTTTCAACTCGTGCCAAGGATCCTTGAAAGATATGAGACCGTTTAAACTCGTGCGAAGGAGCCTTGAGAATAAGAAGCCATTTAAACTCGTGCCAAGGAGTATCATTTAGCTTTCTCCATTTCAAATTTCACACAGGGTTTGCCCTCATATCGGTTGAAAGTGCCTATGAAGAGATGAGGGGCAGAGTTGTCCCACTGGGCGTGCCAATTTGTGAACAAAGAAAATTGAATAAAATATAGAAATTCAAAATTTTGGTTACATATCAAGTATCAATGCGGTATGGGTACAAGATCTTTGGATGGTCCTCTGATTCTTCAATCGATGCCTTAAACACTCTACCATTGAAGGGCTTCCGGGTTTCAAGTGGCTTGATTTTCAAAGAAGGGCTTGTATATATAGCTTGTTCTTCTTGAAGGGCCTCAGGGTTCAAATGGCTTGATCTTCAATGGAGGTTTGGATCAACAGGCATGATTGGATTGGAGGAGGGGCTTTTACTTTGAAGATCACATTTTTATTGTGATCTCTGAATAAGCTTCATAGCTCCTATTTGTAGCTGTAGGATAGAAAAGTTTTGATAGGTTCAAACTCTTTTGATATTATCTAATTAACAAATTAGATAATATCAATATTATCCAAAATATTTCAAATATATTCAAATATAGTAATATTGATAATAATAATATTTATCAAATTTTCAATGTCAACAAATGAATTTGTGAGCAAAGAAAATTGAATAAAAAATAGAAATTCAAAATTCTGGTTACATGTCAAGTATCAATAAGGTGTGGGTACAAGATCTCTGGATGGTCCTTTGATTCTTCAATCGATGCCTTAAACACTCCACCAATGAAGGGGCTCCGGGTTTCAAGTGGCTTGATCTTCAAAGAAGGTCTTGTATATATAGCTTGTTCTTCTTGAAGGGCCTCTGGGTTCAAATCGCTTGATCTTCAATGGAGGTTTGGATCAACAGGCATGATTGGATTGGAGGATGGACTTTTACTTTGAAGATCACATTTTTATTGTGATCTTTGAATAAGCTTCAGAGTTTTTTCTATGATTTTTCCTAGGATCTGATTACATAGAAATGAGAGCTCTTATTTATAGCTGTAGGATAGAAGAGTTTTGATAGGTTCAAACTCTTTTGATATTATCTAATTAACAAATTAGATATATCAATATTATCCAAAATATTTTAAATATATTCTCTCTTTTTTGAATGCATTTTAAATATATTCAAATATACTAATATTGATAAATAATAATAGTTATCAAATTTTCAATGTCAACAAATGCCCCTTCGAGACTTGCTTGTACACCACTTGAGAGCATATATCACTCGAGAGTATGTAGTGCAAGGAAGTCTCGACACTACATTTAAAGATATAAGGTCGTTTCAACTCGTGCCAAAGAGCCTTGAAGGATATGAGACCGTTTAAACTCGTGCCAAAGAGCCTGAATTTAAGGTCGTTTTAACTCGTGCCAAGGAGTATCATTTAGCCTCTTCCATTTCAAATTTCATATGGGGTTTGCCCCCATACCGGTTGAAAGTGCCTATGAAGATATGAGAGGCATAGTTGTCCCACTGGGCATGCCAATTTGTGAACAAAGAAAATTGAATAAAATATTTTGAATTCAAAATTCCGGTTACATATCAAGTATCAATGTGGTGTGGGTACAAGATCTCTGGATGGTCCTCTGATTCTTCAATTGATGCCTTAAACACTCCACCATTGAAGGGCCTCCGGGTTTCAAGTGACTTGATCTCCAAAGAAGAACTTATATATTTGTTCTTCGTTGAAGGGCCTCCGGGTTCAAATGGCTTGATCTTCAATGGAGGTTTGGATCAACAAGCATGATTGGATTGGAGGAGGGGCTTTTACTTTCAGGATCACATTTTTTATTGTGATCCCTGAATAATCTTCAAAGCTTAGGATGTTTCTATGAATCTTTCCTAGGATGTGTGATTACATAGAAATGAGAGCTCCTATTTATAGCTGTAGGATAGAAGAGTTTTGATAAGCTCAAACTCTTTTGATATTATCTAATTAAACAAATTAGATAATATCAATATTATCCAAATATATTCAAATAACTAGTATTAAAAATAATCAGTATTTATGAAACTTTCAGTGTCAACAACGCATTGACTATTATCAGGGATATGTATTTGATTGTTGCAAGCTAGTAACAAAATGAAAAATGAAAATGATTGTAAGAGAACAAATGCGTAGTTAGATCGACATGAATAAGTTGACAAATACGAAATTACTTACGTGAAAAATAATTAATTTGTCATAGACGTTCAAATATGAGCATAACATATTGTTGTGCATCTTCCTTATTTGAAAAAGGCATTCGATCGGGAACGTGTACACCCAGCATTAGTAGATATCGACCCCATCCTTGAGTTGGATAAGATACGTGAGTATTGTTGTGTTTGGCGTCTACACGTGCAAACACAATTTCTCTTCTCGCAACGCTTATCGGGACATACTCTAGCATGTGACAGTACTGAGGAGTTATTGAATCTA